TTTTTTTTTTTTTTTTTGAGACGGAGTTTCGCTCTTGTTACCCAGGCTGGAGTGCAATGGCGCGATCTCGGCTCACCGCAACCTCCGCCTCCTGGGTTCAGGCAATTCTCCTGCCCCAGCCTCCTGAGTCGCTGGGATTACAGGCACGCGCCACCATGCCCAGCTCATTTTTCGTATTTTTAGTAGAGACGGGGTTTCACCGTGTTGATCAGGACGGTCTCGATCTCTTGACCTCGTGATCCACCCGCCTCGGCCTCCCACAGTGCTGGGATTACAGGCTTGAGCCACTGCGCCCGGCCTCATCTGTATGCTTAAAGGCTAATGAGACTCACTTTTTTTGTGTGTGTGTGGGACGGAGTTTCGCTCCTGCTACCCAGGCTGGAGTGCAATGGCGGGATCTCGGCTCACCACAACCTCCGCCTCCTGGGTTCAGGCAATTCTCCTGCCCCAGCCTCCTGAGTAGCTGGGATTACAGGCACGCGCCACCATGCCCAGCTAATTTTTTTTTGTATTTTTAGTAGAGACGGGGTTTCACCATGTTGACCAGGATGGTCTCGATCTCTTGACCTCGTGATCCACCCGCCTCGGCCTCCCAAAGTGCTGGGATTACAGGCTTGAGCCACCGCGCCCGGCTAAATGTATTATTTTTAAAATTAATTAAGAGACGGTCTCACCAGGTGCAGTGGCTAACGCCTATAATCCTGGCACTTTGGGAGGCCGAGATGGGCGAATCACAAGGTCAGGAGTTAGAGACCAGCCTGGCCAACATGGTGAAACCTCGTCTCTACTAAAAATAAAAATAAATAAAATTAGCTGGGTGTAATGGCGGGCGCCTGTAGTCCCAGCTACTTGGGAGGCTGAGGCAGGAGAATCGTTTGAACCTGGGAAGCGGAGGTTGCAGTGAGTCGAGATCGCGCCACACTGCATTCTAGCCCCAGTGACAAAGCAAGACTCCGTCTCAAAAAAAAAAAAAAAAAAGAGAGACAGGGATCTCACTCTGTTGCCCAGAGCCCAGGGTGTTCATGGTTCACTGCAGCCTCTACCCCCTGGGCTCAAATGATCCTCCCACCGCAGCCCCCAGACTATCTGGGACTAATCACATGCCACCACCGCAGGCCTCCTGCATTCTTGTATGTATACAGTATCTCACAATTAAAGGGTAAATAAACATAAGATCTAGTCAAGGGTATTGAGAAGACTGGCCTAGATATTTCATATATATATATATATTTTTTAAAGACAGGGTTTCGGCCGGGCGCGGTAGCTCAAGCCTGTAATCCCAGCACTTTGGGAGGCCGAGGCGGGTGGATCACGAGGTCAAGAGATCGAGACCATCCTGGTCAACATGGTGAAACCCCGTCTCTACTAAAAATACAAAAAATTAGCTGGGCATGGTGGCGCGTGCCTGTAATCCCAGCTACTCAGGAGGCTGAGGCAGGAGAATTGCCTGAACCCAGGAGGCGGAGGTTGCGGTGAGCCGAGATCGTGCCATTGCACTCCAGCCTGGGTAACAAGAGCGAAACTCCGTCCCAAAAAAAAAAAAAAAAAAAAAAGACAGGGTTTCACCATGTTGGTCAGGCTGGTCTTGAACTCCCGACCTCAGGTAATCCGCCTGCCTTGGCCTCCAAAGTGCTTGGATTACAGACGTGAGCCACCACGCCCGGCCATGGCCTAGATATTTCTTCTTTCACTAAACTCAATTTTAACTCTTAAGAAATGTTCACAATAAAATTATCACAGTTCATAAAATCGGTCTTTTTAGTTGCCAACATTCTAAGAAGTTGCATACAATTACAAGAGTAAAATGGAATTATTAGACGGCACGTTAGTTTTAAGGTTTATGGCCGGGTGCGGTGGCGCAAGCACTTTGAGAGGCCAAGGCGGGCGGGGCGGATCGCTCGAGACCAGGAGAGCAGGACCCAGGCTCTACAAAATAAAAATAAAATGTGGGGAGAGGGTGACGTTTTCCAGGTTTCTGACGTTTTCCAGAAGGGGCGGTCCAGGCAGAAGCGCAGGTAGAAAGTGTGAATATAATGAGCGTATTCCGGGAGCAGCAAGTAAGCCGGTGTGACCGGAGGGAACTGGAGCTCTGGCTGCCGGACGGCGAGGGTGACTGCGTGAGACTTCACCAAGAAGTCCCCCTGCTTTCCCGCCTTTCCCAAGCCTTCTGCCCCTTTCCTCTTCCCTTTCGCGCTCCATACTGACTCCGCCCCTCTGGTGTCGCTCATCGCCCCGCCCCTGAGGGAAAAGGAGGCGGGGTCGGTATTGTCATCTCCCTGCGCCTTCCCGCGGCGCGCCGAGCCGCTGGCGCCGTCTGCGTGACGTCACAGGCACTGATAGCGTGAGCCCGCGGCGGCTGCTGCAATGGTTGCTGGCTGCCAGGTTAGGGTCTGAATTGATCTCTTGCCAGGCCGGACCGCCTTCCGGGGCTGCCCAGGAAGACCAGGAGTTTGCATCCAGGGAGGCGGGTTTGTGGTCTGCAGTGTCGTAAGGCTGAGGTGGGGGTTGAAGGCCCAGGAGCCGGACTCTTTGAGCCGGGTCGAGGGGTGTGCTGAAGGGGCTGTTACGTCCAGGCTGGGTGAGGGGAGCGGCAGTGAGGGCCTGGGGGCTGGAGGAAGCTTTAGGGTTCACATTGGGGTGCAGGGAGTCGGGAGCTCAGGGTTTGGGCAAGGGGATATCTGCTAGGGTTCGGCCTTGGGGGTGGCTTTACAGGCTCACGAATCTCTCTCTTCCTACCCCCGCCCGCCCACCCGCGCGCCTGCCTGCCTGCTCACTCGCTCGCTCCTGGTGGCTTCTGCGGGCCGCAGGTACAGCATGTCTAGACTCCGGGCCCTGGGCGGTGTCCGTGCCGGGCTGGGACTGTTGCTGGGTACCGCCGCCGGCCTTGGATTCCTCTGCGTCCTTTACAGCAAGCGATGGAAACGGACCCGGCGCCATGGCCGCAACCAAAGCCTGCCCAACTCCCTGGACTATACGCAGACTTTAGAGCCCGGACGCCAGGGTAGGAGCCCGTCCCGAGACCGCAGTCACTGCAGACTAATGGACTGGGGTCCGGACTGCTTTTAGTGGAGGCTGTGGGACTGGGCAACGGAGGGAAATGCCTTAGGGTTTCACTGTTTTGGAAGCTTGTTGAAAAATCAGTCGTCAGGCTGGGTGCGATGGCTCACGGCTGTAATCCCATCACTTTGGGAGGTCGAGGCGGGCGGATCACCTGAGGTCAGGAGTTCAAGATCAGCCTGGCTAACATTCAACCAGATTTCAACATGGTGAAACCCCGTCTTTACTAAAAATACAAAAATGAGCGGGCGTGGTGGCATGGCCTGTCGTCCTAGCTACTGGCGAGGCTTAGGCACGAGAATTGCTTAAACGCGGTAGGCGGAGGTTGCGGTGAGCCCAGATTGCACCACTGCACTCCGGCCTGGGCGATAGAGTGGGACTCAGTCTCAAAAAAGAAAAGGCAGTCGTCGTTTTCTGTACTCTTTCCCCTCTATTACCCTCTATTTCAAAAAGTCTGCTTAGCTTTCACTTTTAGTTCTGGCCACAATAGTGTTATGTGGATATTAAAGGCACTTGCTTAGTGTTGTGTGAGGTGTGTAGTAAGTAGAAGAAGAGTCCAAAAGAGGGCAAAAAGAGTCTTGTAGGGATTAAAAGTCTTGAGGCTTATGTATTAAATCATATATTAGAATTCGGAGGCAACTTGGAAACTATCTCATTCAAGTTTTTTTTTAATCCGTCCTATGAGGAAACCGAGATTCAAAAAGATTGTGTAACTTTCCTGAGGCGGTCACAAATTAAGTGGAAAGGTTGGGCTTGGTCACCTGGTCCAGTGGACTTTGTACAGCATAGGGCTAGGAGCATGCGTCATGAAGTTGAAGCTGAATGTGGCTGGCAGCCTCCACAGCTGAAATGAGTAGTTCTTTCAGCTCTGCAGAACTTTCCTTGTTTGAGCAAAGTATCTAGGGCTGGTTCAAACTACTGCCATCTTTGTTTGAGAGGAGTGTTGCTTTTTTTCTTTTTCTTTTTTTTGAGACAGAGTCTCACTGTTGCCCAGGCTGGAGTGCAGTGGCATGATCTTGGCTCACTACAACCGCCACCTCCCAGGTTCAAGCGATTCTTCTTTCTCAGCCTCCCAAGTAGCTGGGATCACAGGCATGCACCACCATGCCCAGCTGATTTTTGTATTTTTAGTACAGATGGATTTCGCCATATTGGCCAGGGTGGTCTCAAACTCCTGACCTCAAAGTGATGCACTGGCCTTGGCCTCCCAAAGTGCTGGGATGACAGGTGTGAGCCACTGGGCCTGGCCAGGGGGAGGGTTTAGATTATCTCACCCCCATACTAATTGGAAATGAGTGTTTTCTCTGATTACCAATGTTAGCTTGTTTGGAAAAGGTAGTTTGGAAGAGTCTTCAACGAGCTATCACCTTAGATTGCAATTGATTGTCAGCATTTTCTAACCTGCTGATAATCTAGTATTGCAAGTGTGCTTCCTTCCGTTTCCTTGTTGTTTGTTTGCAATTGTGATGAGAAGAAAGTGACCACATTCCCAAGATTCTTTTTTGCTCTGCATTCTTGAACATTATTGGCTGTGTGTTGTGGCCTGGTCTGGTTTACCAGATTTCCTTTAAGAAGGGGTTTTGCTTGATGTATGTGGATCCTGCCTCTCTGGTTTCTTTATTGTTTTTGTATTTTCCAGTCCAGTTACCATAGGTGGCTCTCACTTTGCTAGCATTTCACTGCTGGAATTTACTCAGAGCAAGATTTAGGGTTGGGTCCGTGGGGCTTAGTAATGGTGTCTTTATGAGATGGTTTGGATGGGCTTTTTCTGGTATACCTTTTCTTTTAGTAACTGGCCCCCTTCTCTTAGTGGGGGGCAGTTACTAAGTTCTGGGAGAAGCTCCAGGTTTTCCCTGCTATTCTTTGTGAAGTGAGAGATCAGAATTTGAGGGAGCTCAGTTTTAGGTTGCTGTGTGGTTGGTATTGACTCCCTGGTATTGGGCACTGTATGGTGAGGGGAAGGATTTTCTTTTACTCTAGCAAGACAACTGTCCTCCTTCAGGTTCCACTCTGGCAAGCATTTTACATTATCTGTCGTGGTGTGCAGCATTCCTGAAGGGCCCTGGTACGGAAGGTTCTTGGAGCAGAGGGCTCTTGTTTAGAGATCGCTGGGTAGTTATTTGGGACTTGTTACCATGTCTTGGCTGTGAATGTGTGTCCTATCTGAGCCTCACTGGGCCTTCTCTTGCAATGAGAAGCAGGTGTTCTTGAACGCTAGGTGTGAGATCTCTTCCCCACTATATTCCTGGGTGTTACTGCTTCCCGTTCTCACCCTTCAGTGATGCTGCTGCGGGCTGTCGCTGGTGGGGCTGGAGATGCCGCAGTGCTGCCCAGCCTTCCACGGGAAGGTCAGGAGAAGGTGCTGGACCGCCTGGACTTTGTGCTGACCAGCCTTGTGGCGCTGCGGCAGGAGGTGGAGGAGTTGAGGAGCAGCCTGCGAGGGCTTGCAGGGGAGATCGTTGGGGAGGTCCGGTGAGTAATGCAGCTTCCTTTCCTGCTGTATCCCTCCCCTATAGTTATTTCAGCTGAGGTGTGTTCTGGCCTTTGCTCTGTCTCTAAGGAAGAAACCAGTTTTATAGCTTCTGGCCTAATCTGGTAGAAGCTGTACATTTGGTACCTTGCCTTGCACGCTCCCTGCTGCTTTTGGACTCTCATGGTTCATCTGCAGCCGAAGCGCTCTGTTCTGCCTAGCCTAGTCTGTGTCGGCTGGGACCAGGGGGCTCCCTTGCTTACCCTCCTGTGGGTAGAGACCTAGGGTTTTCTCTGTTCTTGGCCCTTTAATGAGAAGCGGTAGTAAGAGGCACCCCATGGTGAGTCGAAAGACAGGCTGGATGGGGCCTAATGGTACCATCTGGGACTGGGCTTGCTTTTCAGATCCCACATAGAAGAGAACCAGAGAGTGGCTCGGCGGCGAAGGTTTCCTTTTGTCCGGGAGAGGAGTGACTCCACTGGCTCCAGTTCTGTCTATTTCACAGCCTCCTCGGGAGCTACGTTTACAGATGCCGAGAGCGAAGGGGGGTGAGTTGTCTTTCCTGGAGGCAGTTGTGGCTACAGCCAGGTTGTGTTTCATAAAAGTATTATCAATGTAAAATCCAAACCAAGCTGCTGTAAATAATTTTTGGAACAGATAAGTGTATGATAAATACAGAACAGTTGAAACAAACCCATCCTATTTATGTCATTCAGACAACTGTAGATGTTAATAGCAGTTATTGCTTACATCTGCTATTTTCTGAGTCAGTTTATTACATAGGTATTATGATACATTATTTGGGCATTTTTCTGTGTTATCACAGAGACTTTATAACATCGTTTGACTTTGTTCCTTTCCTTGGGTGGCTGAGCTGGTGTACAGAGATCTCTAAGCACAAAGCATGCTCCTTCTTCCTGGGAGTCACCCTCTTCCCACAGAGGAGCCTTGCCTATGATCCCTTGAATCTTTACAGGTGGCAGGTGGCTGTTCTGAGTTCTCAGTGGCCCAGGAGGAATGACAGTAGACCTTTCTGTGAGGCAAGACAGCTGGCAGGGTTCTGGTGGACAGCCTCCTCCAAATCTGGTCATGCTAAGGGCTTTTTGAGTTTAAACCACTAGCACCACTTTGAAACTTTGGTCCCAAGGCCAGACTCTGATATTGTCAGTGGCAGCATCTGCCCTTGTCTGCTTCTAGCTCCAGTCATTCAGGTAGCCTGTGTGAAGGCTAGAGGCTGATTTCTCCTTATCCACCCTTTCTTCTTCTCAAGGAAAAGACTGGTGCAAAGAACAGCCAAGTTTTATGGTGGATCAGAGGAATTGGCTCTAAGTGGGCACATGGAAACTAGAAGTTAAAATCAGGCCAAGAGCGGTGGTGGCTCATGGGTAATCCCAGCACTTTGGGAGGCCAAGGCAGGAGGATTGCTTGAGTCCAGAAGCCTGAGACCACCCTGGGCAAGGCAGCAAGACCATGTCTCTACATAAATTAACTAGCTGGGGGAGGCTGAGGCAGGCGGATCACTTGAGATAAGGAGTTCAAGCCAGCCTGGCCAACATGTTGAAACTCCGTCTGTACTAAAAATAAAAAAATTACACCAGGCATGGTGGCGCATGACTGTCATCCCAGCTACTCAAGAGGTTGAGGTAGGAGAATTGCTTGAACCCAGGAGGCGGAGGTTGCAGTGAGCCAAGATTGAGCCATGGCACTCCAGCCTGGGAGACAGAGTGAGACTTCGACTAAAAAACGTACAAAAAAGCTAGCCGGGCATGGTGGCATGTGCCTGTAGTCTCAGCTACTTGGGAGGCTGAGAGTTTGAGGCTGCAGTGAACCATAATTGTGCCACTGCACTCCAGCCTGGGTGATAGAGTGAGAACCTGCCTCAAAAAAAAAGGGAGAAAAATGGCGTTAAGTAAATACTAGATGATAGGAATTTTCAGCTCCATTATCATCTTATGTATTCACCGTTGTATGCACAGTTCATTGTTGACTGAAATGTCGTTATCACCGCTGGATTTGATGACTGCTCAGGGGCCTCCCGAAACCTGTGGAGTGGTGGGAAAGAGCACTGCTCCTCCATGGGGAACTGCTGTTGTCCGGGTTGTCAGATCCCTGTTACCTGTATTCTCAAGGGCAAGCACAAGTGGTTTTTTTTTTTTTTTTTTTAATTCAGTTTACCTAAATGGCTCTGGGCTAAGAGATGCTTCCAGAAGTTGTGTTAAAGAGGGCGCACAGTGAAATTAATATTTGATAGATCTGAATCGAAGAGAGAGATGAAGGAAGTAGTTGATAGTGGCCACTGAGACGTAAAGAATGTCTCTAGAACCTAAGGAAGCAGGCTACTTGGGTGGGGAATTGATGTTTGAACTCTGTAAGGAGGTAAGAACAGGAGAGGTCACAGCTCTGCCCAAGATCAAACAAAATTTGAGGCTTTTCACGGCCTTTTTTAAAAACAGGCTCTCACTCTGTTGCCCAGGCTGGAGTTCAGTGGCGCCATCCCAGAACAGCAGCTTCAACCTCATGGGCTCAAGTGATCCTCCTGCCTCAGCCTTCTTTCTGAATAGCTGGGACTTCAGGCATGTACCACCATGCCCAGCCACTTTTATTTATTTTTTTGTTGAGATAGGATCTCCCTATGTTGCCTAGGCTGGTCTTTAATTCCTGGCCTCAAGCAGTTCTCCCACATCGGTCTCCAAATGCTGAGATTATAGGCATGACCCATCGCAACTTACCCACTTTGTGATGATTTTTTTTTTTTTTTTTTTTTTTTTTTTTTTTTTTTTTTTTTTTTTTTGAGACGGAGTTTCGCTCTTGTTACCCAGGCTGGAGTGCAATGGCGCGATCTCGGCTCACCGCAACCTCCGCCTCCTGGGTTCAGGCAATTCTCCTGCCTCAGCCTCCTGAGTAGCTGGGATTACAGGCACGCACCACCATGCCCAGCTAATGTTTTGTATTTTTAGTAGAGACGGGGTTTCACCATGTTGACCAGGATGGTCTCGATCTCTTGACCTTGTGATCCACCCGTCTCGGCCTCCCAAAGGTGATGATTTAAATAAGTTGTACTAGGCTGGGCGTGTTGGCTTGTGCCTGTAATTCCAGCACTTTGGGAGGCCGAGGAGGTTGGATTACCTGAGGTCAGGAGTTCAAGACCAGACTGGTCAACATGGTGAAACCCCATCTCTACTTAAAATACAAAAATTAGCCAGGCATGGTGGCAGACACCTGTAATCCCTGCTACTCAAGAGGCAGATGCAGATGAATCGCTTAAACCCAGGAGATGGAGGCTGCAGTGAGCCGAGAGGGCGCCAGCCTGGGCAATAGAGCAGGACTGTCTCCAAAAAAAAAAAAAAGTTGTACTTGAGGCCAAGCATGGTGGCTCACGCCTATAATCCCAGCACTTTGGGAAGCCAAGGCAGGTGGATTACTTGAGGTCAGGAGTTTGAGACCAGCCTGGCCAACATGGCGAAACCTTGTCTCACTAAAAATACAAAAGTTAGCTGGACATAGTGGTATGCTCTTGTAATTCCAGCTGTTCAGGAGGCTCATTCAGGAGAATCACTTGAACCTGAGAGGTAGAGGTTGCAGTGAGCCGAGATTGCACCACTGCACTCCAGTCTAGGCGACAGAGAAAGACTGCCTCTCAAGAAAATAAGGAAGTTGTACAAGTTTCTAGGGTCATTGAGAGGCAGAGCAGTTAAGCAGGGACCCTTATGGGTGCTTCACTGCTTAGGGTGCTCATTGGGACTCCCAAGGCCACAAGGAGCAGGCCAGGGCTGCCAGCCATCTGTGATGGGGCAAGGGAAAGGGCAGCTTTCTTAATTATAGTTCCATCAGGCTCTGTCCCATGCCCAGTCCCGTGACATGGGAGCAGGTGATGGTGCAACACTCTGTGGTTGAGCCAGTTGCCATCTAGGGTAGTGGCTGTGGTGATTGATTCTTTGTGCCACCGTCATTGTCATGTAGGTCAAGGGGGAGCTCTAGGAGTCTACGAACTCTGAAATGGCTTTGAACTTGTGGGTCTTCGGGCAAGGAGAGCTGCTTTGAGGGATGAAGGGCTGAAATTTGATGGGCTGCTCAATTTCACTGAAAGCTATATTCCTTATTCTGTATAAAATTCAAACCTTGAGGTCTCAGGATGTTGAGGGTTGGCAGAGGCAGAATCACTGTGCAGCTCTGTGAGCTTGTTCCCCAGGCATTGTACCAAACACAGCTTCAGTTCCAACCTCTGTTAGAACTCAACTGCCTTAAAACACCAGCTCCTCTAGCAAGGCTTCCCAGGCATCTCAGCCAAGAGAGACTGCCTACAGCCTCATCTTAAGACTCCTTCTTGGCATTTATGACCTCATTAAGTTGGGTCCTATCTCAAGGTCAGGGCCCATGTGCTTGGTCATTTTTGAAGGTCTCATACTCAGCCTCTAATATGGTTTAAGTTAAGAGAAACATAATTGCCAGGAGGGGAGATATGTGTAACTGAGTCTGTCATTACTTACTGTGGCCTCTGCTTAAGAGTAAAGTGGCAGTCTCCTTGCTCACAGGGAGCCTTGGGTCTCTGGCCCACTGTGGGAACTCCTGTCCTCTGGAGTGGACAGGACTAAAGGGCCTTTTCAAAAGGTCCCTGCTCATCCCTGGCAGATCTCAGAAGCCTCAGGGTATGTAAAAAAGGGTCACCCCTCTGGTGGATTTCTCCAAGGGCTGGCTGGGTTAGTCTGAGGTGGAAGGTGAGAGATAATGGCATAAATGTAGTAGCTGTTGGCATGTGATTCATCTCTTCTGAGGCTCCAGAAGCTGATGTCAGGCAGTGGGTTTTCAGATTGATGAGGAGAGCTCCTTAAAGTGGGGTTGAGGTGCAATTTAAGTCCCCTCTGTGTGCCAGCTTCCCTGGAGCCTCCCTGCCTCATGGGGCTCTGCTGGCTCTCACTCTGTTTGTGGCAGCAAGGCCCTGTAACCTCTTGGCTTTGTGAGCTGGGCCTTTAGGATCCAGAGGGATGGCAGTATTGCAGCTCCCATCCCAGGGGATTCTGTGCTGATGCCTGGGCTCTAGCAGGACTAGGTCCCTCCCTGGGAGAACTGAAGGCAGAGAGACTCCTGTTTGGACTCCTGATTGGCTAAGGCAGCCCTCAACCCAGCAGGAAATAGGGTCTTCTCCTCTTTCTAGCAAAGGGAGATGACGAAATTCTAGCTTTCCATTCCAGATCAACCATTTACCCATTTTGCCTTTGGGCCTGGCTGGGCAGAGGAAATTGTGGTTTGATTTTTCTCAGTCTATGTCAGGTGCCATTAGGAGTTTCAATTTCTATTGATTACCTGTGAGTGGTCTTGCTTATCAGTACCCAGGTCGATTATGAAATTTGATGACACTTATCCTTGTCCCTTTAATTTCTTTTTTCTTTTTTTTTTTTGAGACGGAGTTTCGCTCTCGTTACCCAGGCTGGAGTGCAATGGTGCAATCTTGGCTCACCGCAACCTCCGCCTCCTGGGTTCAGGCAATTCTCCTGCCTCAGCCTCCTGAGTAGCTGGGATTACAGGCACGCGCCACCATGCCCAGCTAATTTGTTGTATTTTTTTTTTTTTTTTTGGAGACGGAGTTTCACTCTTGTTACCCAGGCTGGAGTGCAATGGCGCGATCTCGGCTCACTGCAACCTCCGCCTCCTGGGTTCAAGCAATTCTCCTGCCTCAGCCTCCTGAGTAGCTGGGACTACAGGCACGCGCCACCATGCCCAGCTAATTTTTTTGTAGTTTTAGTAGAGACGGGGTTTCACCATGTTGACCAGGATGGTCTTGATCTCTTGACCTCGTGATCCACCCGCCTCGGCCTCCCAAAGTGCTGGGATTACAGGCTTGAGCCACCGCGCCCGGCTAATTTGTTGTATTTTTAGTAGAGATGGGGTTTCACCATGTTGACCAGGATGGTCTCGATCTCTTGACCTCGTGATCCACCCGCCTCGGCCTCCCAAAGTGCTGGGATTACAGGCGTGAGCCACCGCGCCCGGCCTGTCCCTTTAATTTCTAAAGTTTTTTTTTTTTTTTTTCCCCTGCAAATAACTAACGGGGAGATACTTGGATAACTTCTTGAAAAACAAGGTGCAGCTAAGAAAGGTTTTTAATACCTTACAAGTCCTTGTAGATGTGTCTGGGGCCTCTTTTTTAGTTGAGGCTAAAGCTCCTCTGTAAGGATGCAGTCAGCACAGATTGGCACCAGGACTGGCTGCTCAGTTCTAGAGCCTTCAGCCTGCTGCTCTGTGGTTTCTGGTTTTCTGGACAAGGAGGACAACACTTCTGCCCTGATGTTAGGCTGTCATGTGTTGACTTTATTTGTAGGTGTGTGTCTCATCTCTCCTTCAGTTGTTTTGCTCCAGCCTCAGGGAGCCTACTCTTAACGTTTTTTCCAGATGGAGCAAGGCTTATCATGAGATGATGCCACGATCTCCCCTATGCTTTAGGTCCTTCTGGCTCTGACAGCCCTTGCATTTTTCCCTGAGTCTAGAGGGCTTTTTCGTGTCTGCTTCTGACCTCTGGAAGTCCTACCTTTTTCCCTGCTCCGTACTTATCTGATTTTTTTTAGGCACTCAGGGAAAACACCCTAATCAGCTGCTGGTGGCTGAGATCCAAGAGAAACTTGGCTTCCTCTTTAGTGGGTACATCAGGGTTGGGGCTCCTTGGGAGTCACCTGGCATTTGGCAGCCCCCCAAATACCTTTTCAGGGGGTGGTGGCTTGCATAGTCTTTGCCTTCTTTTTTTTTTTTTTTTTGAAACAAAGTCTCACTCTTGCCCAGGCTGGAGTGCAGTGGCATGATTTTGGTTTACGACAACCTCCTCCCAGGTTCAAGCGATTCTTGTGCCTCAGCCTCCCTAGTATCTAGGATTACAGGTGCTTGCCACCACACCTGGCTAATTTTTATATTTTTAGTAGAGACGGGGTTTCACCATGTTGGCCAGGCTGGTCTCCAATTCCTGACTTTAGATCATCTACCCACCTAGGCCTCCCAAAGTGCTGGGATTACAGGCATGAGTCACCACACCCGGCCCGTTTTCCCCTTCTTGCTTCCAGCTGCAAAGTGGTTCCTGTCACTTCTTCCCACATCTTAAGTTCCCAAGGTTACCAAAGTCTACTCCTTTTGGGGTTTAAAACGGTTTGGTTTTTGACTCAGGCCAGAGGCCATGCATTTGTGAAACAGACTGTGGATGTGTGTGGCTGCCCATGGCCTGAGGCTGTACCCACACGTTGGTTCTGGCAAGTGTCTTTGATAAGGCAAAATGAGCAGGGGCTTCTCACATTTGCCTTGACTGTCACAGGGCCCAGTTGGTTGGCTATTCTTTCCTACCCGGTTCACTTTCCCAGCCCTTAGTTCTCATAGGAAGCTTTCTCTCAAATGATGGTTTCTGCTGGGCATGGTGGCTCATACCTCTAATTCCAGCACTTTGAGTGGCTGATGTGGGTGGATCACTTGAAGGCAGGGTTTGAGACCAGTCTGGGCAGCATGGCAAAACCCCATCTCTACTAAAAATACAAAAAAAGTTACGTGGGAGAATTGCTTGAGCCCAGGAGATGGAGGTTGCAGTGAGCCAAGACTAAGCCACTGCACTCTAGCCTGGATGACAGTGAGACTCTGTCTCAAAATTTTAAAAAAAATTCTGCCTTGGGGCCGGGCGCGGTGGCTCAAGCCTGTAATCCCAGCACTTTGGGAGGCCGAGGCGGGTGGATCATGAGGCCAAGAGATCGAGACCATCCTGGTCAACATGGTGAAACCCCGTCTCTACTAAAACTACAAAAAATTAGCTGGGCATGGTGGCGCATGTCTGCAGTCCCAGCTACTCAGGAGGCTGAGGCAGGAGAATTGCCTGAACCCAGGAGGCGGAGGTTGCGGTGAGCTGAGATTGGGCCATCGCACTCCAGCCTGGGTAACAAGAGCGAAACACCATCTCAAAAAAAAAAAAAAAATTCTGCCTTTAAGAGGTAGGAATGATTGTCCGGGTACAATGGTTCATGCCTGTAATCCCAGCACTTTGGGAGGCTGAGGCGGGCGGATCATGAGGTCAAGAGATCGAGACCATTGTGGCCAACATGGTGAAACCCCATCTCTACTAAAAATACAAAAATTAGCTGGGCATGGTGGGGCGCGCCTGTAGTCCCAGCTACTCAGGAGGCTGAGGCAGGAGAATTGCTTGAACCCGGGAGGTGGAGGTTGCAGTGAGCTGAGATCGCGCCACTGCAATCCAGCCTGGCGCCTGGCAACAGAGTGAGACTGTCTGGTGAGAAAAAAAAAAAAAGGTAGGAATGATTATGATTTGGTGCTTTGGACAGTGCCATGTAGAGTACTTCTTTGGGGGTAAGGGAGGTAAGGGATAGATCCTAGGGGCTCGAAGCTGAATAACCATCTTCCTTATTGTTCCTTACATTTCTATTCCAGTTACACAACAGCCAATGCGGAGTCTGACAATGAGCGGGACTCTGACAAAGAGAGTGAGGATGGGGAAGATGAAGCAAGCTGTGAGACTGTGAAGATGGGGAGAAAGGATTCTCTGGACCTGGAGGTGGAGGCATCTTCAGGTCTGGTGCCCAGTGCCCTAGAGAATGGAGCTTCCTCAGGCTTGGAGGATGTGCTGCCCCTTCTGCAGCAGGCGGATGAGATGCACCACGGTGATGAGCATGGCAAGCGGGAGGGCTTCCAGCTGCTGCTCAACAACAAGCTGGCGGTGAGGCTCCAGCTGCCTGCCTGATTCTCCTTCCCTCCCCCCCATCCCTCTGCTCCTGAACCCTGGGGAATGAATGCCCATGTGGTTACTGCCCCCACAAAGTGACATGGGGGAAGAAATGAGAGTAAGACGGCAGGTTCTGCATCTGTTGCCCAGGTAGCATATCCTCTTCCGACAAGGCCCAGTGTGGACCCTAGGGCCAGTGTACTGTTTGCTCCAGAGCTGAGGGGGTCAGGGGAGCACAGTCCTCTGCCTCCTATAGAGCTACTGCAGAAAAAGCTCTACCTCTTACCTCTAGGGGGAAATGTGAAAAGAAATGGATTTTTTCTCCTCTTTTCCCTTGATGCAGAGTTCGAGCTGCCAGCCCCAAGTGACCACTGTGTAGGTCACTCAACCACAATTCTCTTCTCAGGTTCCCTGACAAAAGTTATGCCCACCCAGGTATAACCGACCTCCCCCCCCACCCCCCGCCCACCCACTGGAAGTTGAAAATCTCCCTTTTCCTTTCACACTTTCTTCATGTGTCAGCAAAAGACCTCTCATCCTTTATGACATCTTCTTAGAGTTGACCTTTCCTCCTGGCAGTTTGAGGAGGCCAGAATGCCCTAACCCTGTGATTGTGCAACCCACTAGCTAGAGAGAGAATGTGTCATACATTAACTGCACGTGGGAAGGGATGACTAGGGGATGGCTGTGCATAGGAGCTGGCCTGATGCTGGTGATTGTAACGTATTAGCTTGCATATTCAAACCTAGGGTGTGGGGGAAGGCCAGGGCCTCCATTCTCCACAGCTGAGGATAAAGGGGCCTTACCTGTTTCTGTCTGGTCTGCAGTATGGAAGCCGGCAGGACTTTCTCTGGCGCCTGGCCCGGGCCTACAGTGACATGTGTGAGCTCACTGAGGAGGTGAGCGAGAAGAAGTCATATGCCTTAGATGGTAAGTGCTGACAGCTTCCTGTGGGAAGATGACTGACTGATTCAGGGGTGGGGCTGGCCCATCTGCCTGGGGCCCTAGAGAACCACCAAGATGCTGTCAGAGCAGTTGTGGCTCAGTTACCCATTAGGGACAAACTCTGGCTCCCAAAGACCCTTGCTTTCTCCTCTGGAGGAAGAGAGTAGTCCTTGCTTATCCATCATCCTGATTAGTAACACAGGCGCATATATTTTTAGGAGTAGTTGCATCCTATCAGTGTTACTTGTTTTTCTCACTGTCTTGCCACAGAGGGCAAAGTCTTTCTTGACGAGGTTTTTTGCAGCTGCTAGGAATCTTGTGTTGGTTATGGAGCCTGTGGGGCAGGTGTTCTAAGAACATAGCTAGCTTAGAAGACTTTGGAATCCACTTGGCAAGTCTGTTGGCAAAGGCTCCACCTTGGAGAATAGGGTGCATCTGATCTGTGCCAGGCTCATGGCTCAGCCTTGGCTATCATGAGTTCAGAGAATCCTTGGACTTTAGAAAGAGACTGATGTGTCCTGCTGAACTCCACAAATTGAGTGAGGTGCCATTAATGGGTTTCTAGGTCTGTGTGGTTCAGTTAATATCTTTTTTTTTTTTTTTTTTTTTAAGCAGTCTCACCCCGTCACCCAGGCTGGAGTTCAGTGGTGTGATCTCAGCTCACTGCAACCTCCGCCTCCCAGGCTCAAGCAATTCTCTTGCCTCAGCCAACCCAGTAGCTGGGATTACAAACATGTGCCACCATGCCCAGCTAGTTTTTGTATTTTTAGTAGAAACAGTTTCACCATGTTCACCACACTGGTCTTAAACTCCTGGCCCCAAGTGATCTGCCCACCTAGGCCTCCCAAAGTGCTGGGATAACAGGCATAAGCCACCGTGCCCGGCAGGTTCAGTTAACTGTCTAAAACGGATTTGTCCACCTTTCTATTATTATAAGTACAGCCCTACAAATATGAATTGTTGATAATGTAGACTCTAACAATAGCTCAAGGTTAACATTCTAAACATTTGTAGAATTCTGTTGATGGAGAAAGAACAGACCAGTTGAGTAGGATGTCTCTGAAGCTCCTCAGAAAAATTCCTGTAAGTTTTAACAAAAGATGCTTAATTACAATTACTTGCTCTTCAAGTTTCTATTTTCCCTTCTGAATTTCAGGTGAGGATTCTCAATCAGCTTTTGGGCTGATTTTTGGACTCTTCATGTCAACACCTTTCCTTTCCCTCTTGATCACTGATCATCTCTTATTAATGCTAGTAGCCAGCATGAACCCCAAAGGCACAAGTGAAGGCAGTGGTTAGAGGTGCAGTACTTGGTTAGTCTGGCCTCCTCAGCTTAGCACCAACGGGCAAATCTTTACCTGCTGGAGTTGAGATGATGATGGAATGTCTTTGAAGGTTGTGCTCTGAGATCACAGCCTTTACCAATCATCCTTACTGGGTATAAAGTTTTTTTCATTGTATCTCTAGAAGCTGGACCACCAGGAGGTAGTCATTCTGTGGGGTCTCAGGTAATGTCTTGTCTGTAACAGGCTGTCTAGCTTGGCAGGAACATTCTTTGCTATTATTTTCCTAGTGAGACAGTACTTTAAAGAGGGCAGAGAGAAATCCCCAAAGAGGCGGCATCCCTCATTTGTGGGGCCATGTGATCCTTCCATTTGGGAAGGGCTGTAGAGTCCTTTACAGCATCAGTTGTCTTTTCTTTTCTTTCTTTTTTTCTGAGATGGAGTCTCACTCTGTCACCCAGGCGGGGGTGCAGTGGCATGATCACTACACCTTCTCACTGCAACTTCTGCCTCCTGGTTTCAAGCAGTTCTCCTGCCTCAAACCTCCTGAATAGCTGGGATTACAGACGCGCGCCACCATGCCCTGCTAATTTTTGTTTTGTTAGTAGAGACGGGGTTTCACCGTGTTAGCTAGACTGGTTTTGAACTCCTGACCTCATGATCTGCCCACCTTGGTCTCCCAAAGTGTTGGGATTACAGGCGTGAGCCACCATGCCCAGCCAGTTGTCTTAAAAATGGATTTGTGGCCAGGCGTGGTGGCTCATGCCTTGTAATCTCACCACTTTGGGAAGCCAAGGCAAGAGGATTGCTTGAGCCCAGCTGTTCAAGACCAACCTGGGCAACATAGTGAGACCTTGTCTCTATAAACACAACACAACAAAACAAAAACCTTAAAAAATTTGCCAGGCATGGTGGAACATGCCAGCAGGGGGATTGTTTCAGCCCAGGAAGCAGAGATTGCAGCGAGCTTAGGTTGTGCCACTGTACTCCAACTTGGGCGACAGAGCAAGACACTGTCTCAAAAAATAAAAAGGTAAAACATTTCAGGTTAGCCAGTTGACATTTGTTCCATTTCTCCGTGTTCCCTTCCAAGCCATCTGTTTTCTTCAAAGAAGTCTTGGCCAGGTACAGTGGCTCATGCCTGTAACCCCAGCACTTTGGGAGGCTGAGGTGGGAAGATGGCATCAAGCCAGGAGTTCAAAGCCAGCCTGCGCAAGATAGACCTCACCTTGTAAGAAAAACTAACTGGGTGTGGTGGTGCACATCTATAGTCCTAGCTCCTTGGGAAGCTAAGGCTAGAGGATTGCTTGAACTAGGAGTTCAAGACTGCAGTGAGCCATGATTGCAGCACTGCATTCCAGCCTGGGTGACAGAGTGAGACCCTAACTCTTTAAAAAAAAAAAAAAAATCCTATTTTGCAGTGTCTTCTCCAGTGCGTAGGCATGATGGTCCTTATCTGGAGGTCCTAGGCTCAAGCCTCGATATTGGTGACGTTTGTCATAACTTCATGTGTCTGGGCTTTCTTTGTTAGACCACTAACATAGAAAACGTGGGGAAGACTAAGTGAAAGTCATCTCTGGTCAGACCTCAATCCACGTGGCTCTTATGAAAGAGTTTTGGCCTAGAGCTAATTAATATTCTTGGATCATGGATCTTTCTGAGGATTTTTTTTTTTTCTTTTTTAAATAAGAGACAGGGGTCTGGCTGTTTCCCAGATTGGTGTTGAAATTTTGGTCTCAAGCTATGCTCTCTCCTTGGCCTCTCAAAGCTCTAATTGTGAGCCAATGTACCTATCCCCTTTGGAGAATTTTATCAAAGCTGTGAACCGTCTCAGGTAAAATTTTATACAACTTGAGATTCATAGACACTGCCCCTCTAGAGTAAGGTCTGTTGGGGACAGTTTCTGATTGTGTTGGATCCTTTCTTTGTGTGTGTGGGGGGGAGGGGAGGCGGAGTTTCACTCTGTCGCCAGGATCCAGTGCATGCGCCACCACACCCAATTTGTGTGTGTGTGTGTGTGTGTGTGTGTGTGTGTGTGTGTCAGTTTTGCTCTTGTTGCCCAGGCTGGAGCATTAATACCATGATCTTGGCTGACTGCACCCTCGTCCTCCGGGGTTCAAGCGATTCTCCTGCCCCAACCTCCAGAGTAGCTGGGATTACAGGCACCCACACCATGCCCAACTCATTTTTGTATTTTTAGTAGAGAAGGGGGTTTCATCATGTTGAGTAAGCTGGTCTCGAACTCCTGACCTCAAGTGATCCACCCACCTCGGCCTCCCAAAGTGCTCGGATTACACACATGAGCTACCATGCCTGGCCTGTTTGCAGCCTTTCATTCTGCTTAAGTTCACAACTATTTCCAAGCAAGTCCAAGTTGGGTAGGGACTGGTGAGAGGTAAAGCAGTTATTCTTCCCACAAGGCTTCGTATGAAAATTAGCATAAGAGCTCATGTTAACTCTGGATCTACTTTTGTCCTACAGGAAAAGAAGAAGCAGAGGCTGCGCTAGAGAAAGGGGAGGAGAGCGCTGACTGCCACCTGTGGTAATAACACCCTGCAGTGTTTTGGGAAGAGCCAGCAAGGGCTATGGCAGAGCAAAGCCCTCTTTTCTGTGCCTGGGCCACAGAGGCATTTTCCAAAGGATCCAGGAGAGGGAGCTCTGGCTTGTATTTCCACATACCTCAGTCTACCCCTAGTCAGAGACAACAGAAGTTTCTGGTGAGGGAGGTGACTTGGGAATGAGGCAAGGTGGGGGAGTGCAAGCTTTTTTCTGATGGAACTTGGATAAATGAATAGCTTTGTAAGAGTCATCCTAGCTACAAAACTGAAGTTCCTGGCTCTCGGGAGGCTGGGACAACCTGCAGCTGCCCTATCCCGCACAAGCTCTTCTTGCCCGTCTGTGATCCCTGGCTGGTGGTACTTTGGCTTCTTTGCTTGGTTTGCATGAAGAAAAGTAGATGTGAGCTCACCTCTTGGGAGTTCATTGGTCAACTTATTAGGTTAAAAAAACATCAGCCCTTTTTGTGGTCTCGTGTGATGGAAAGTTTGGTCATCTTACCCGGGTCAGAGCAAACTCAGGTCCTGGGGTCTGGTTCCAGCACCTGAGTTTCAGTGAAAATGTTCCTTTCCCACCGCCATCCTTGCTTTCTATATCTCCACCCTCAGATTGTGAGCTAAGTGAGAGGCTGTCTTTCTCCATCTGTTGCTGAAACTTTTGTCTCTGCAGGGGTTCTTCTCAGAGGCCAGGTAACTGTTTCTTGGGTGTCATTGCTTCCCTGGGCTTCTAAGGATGAAAGTTGGCCCCACACTTTCTTAGCTATTCCTGAGGAACAGCTGTTGGGATTAAACATGGAAATGAGCCTCTAGAAGTGTCTGATATCGCACAGATACTTAGCATATACGTGAAAAAGCAACTTGGGCTGGTTTACTCATCTAATGTCAACTGTGCTGCTAGGAACAATGCTGGGGGGATAGGGGAGGAAGAGTTTGTTTCTGAGGATAGAAGATGGGAAGCTGGCTAGTTGGCTCTCCTTGGGAGGGGGGGATGTGGGGGAAAGGGCAAACATAGGTCTTTCTTCCTCTGGTTGTTGGTCCCCAAGTTAACATTAGAAATTTCTAGAACATCCCCTTCCAATGTGACTATCCTAAGAAATTCCTTCCCAAGTCCCAGTGCTACATCTGTATGCTTTTTTTTTTTTTTTTTGAGACGGAGTTTCGCTCTTGTTACCCAGGCTGGAGTGCAATGGCGCGATCTCGGCTCACCGCAACCTCCGCCTCCTGGGTTCAGGCAATTCTCCTGCCCCAGCCTCCTGAGTCGCTGGGATTACAGGCACGCGCCACCATGCCCAGCTCATTTTTCGTATTTTTAGTAGAGACGGGGTTTCACCGTGTTGATCAGGACGGTCTCGATCTCTTGACCTCGTGATCCACCCGCCTCGGCCTCCCACAGTGCTGGGATTACAGGCTTGAGCCACTGCGCCCGGCCTCATCTGTATGCTTAAAGGCTAATGAGACTCACTTTTTTTGTGTGTGTGTGGGACGGAGTTTCGCTCCTGCTACCCAGGCTGGAGTGCAATGGCGGGATCTCGGCTCACCACAACCTCCGCCTCCTGGGTTCAGGCAATTCTCCTGCCCCAGCCTCCTGAGTAGCTGGGATTACAGGCACGCGCCACCATGCCCAGCTAATTTTTTTTTGTATTTTTAGTAGAGACGGGGTTTCACCATGTTGACCAGGATGGTCTCGATCTCTTGACCTCGTGATCCACCCGCCTCGGCCTCCCAAAGTGCTGGGATTACAGGCTTGAGCCACCGCGCCCGGCTAAATGTATTATTTTTAAAATTAATTAAGAGACGGTCTCACCAGGTGCAGTGGCTAACGCCTATAATCCTGGCACTTTGGGAGGCCGAGATGGGCGAATCACAAGGTCAGGAGTTAGAGACCAGCCTGGCCAACATGGTGAAACCTCGTCTCTACTAAAAATAAAAATAAATAAAATTAGCTGGGTGTAATGGCGGGCGCCTGTAGTCCCAGCTACTTGGGAGGCTGAGGCAGGAGAATCGTTTGAACCTGGGAAGCGGAGGTTGCAGTGAGTCGAGATCGCGCCACACTGCATTCTAGCCCCAGTGACAAAGCAAGACTCCGTCTCAAAAAAAAAAAAAAAAAAGAGAGACAGGGATCTCACTCTGTTGCCCAGAGCCCAGGGTGTTCATGGTTCACTGCAGCCTCTACCCCCTGGGCTCAAATGATCCTCCCACCGCAGCCCCCAGACTATCTGGGACTAATCACATGCCACCACCGCAGGCCTCCTGCATTCTTGTATGTATACAGTATCTCACAATTAAAGGGTAAATAAACATAAGATCTAGTCAAGGGTATTGAGAAGACTGGCCTAGATATTTCATATATATATATATATTTTTTAAAGACAGGGTTTCGGCCGGGCGCGGTAGCTCAAGCCTGTAATCCCAGCACTTTGGGAGGCCGAGGCGGGTGGATCA